AGCCTCTTCTCCGTGGTGCCCAGCAACAGGACAAGAGGCAACGGGCAGAAACTGAACCACAGGAAGTTCCATCTGAACCTGAGAAAAAACTTCTTCACTGTGAGGGTGACAGAGCATTGGAACAGGCTGCCCAGAGAGGGAGTGGAGTCTCCTTCGCTGGAGATATTCAAAAGCCGTCTGGATGTGATCCTGGGCAATATGCTCTAGGTGACCCTGCTTGAGCAGGGAGGTTGGACTAGATGATCTCCAGAGGTCCAACCTAAACCATTCTGTGATTCTGTTACATAATATTGATCACTATACTCAATAATCGTAGCCCCTACCAATCTTGTTGACAATACTTTCTAAGCTCTACCCCCATTAATAAATGGTGGCATTGGGCATTTCTTGTAAAACAGTTTGTTTTCTGCAATGAAAGAGGTGACACCAAAAGTACAAATAGCATCAACCATCTTAAATTCCCATTACTAGAATTATGTAAGTGTTCAATATGTTCAGTATTATATATGTGCAGCATAACCATTTAAAAAAACCCAAAGCAATGAATAGGAGACAATAGGCAAGTAATTTCCATTTTGAAGTTAAAATTTCCTAAAACAAAAGTCAACATGAAACTATACACATTTTTAATGCAGGTTTATGCGACATCTCCACAATGAGGCTGTTACGAGAACACAACTTTCGTCTAATTTTGATTTCAAACAAGAAATACCAGGAAAAGCAAAAAAGGCCAGTACATATAGAAGGATGTTTAACTACTGAAAAATATGGAGTTCTGAAGTCAACGGCTAAACAAAGGCCATATCCAGCCATTAAACAGTCTGCCACCTCCAGTATCCAGCTTCAGCAGCAGATGTGAAATTGTTAGACTAGTGTAACTTCATTATGATTCCTTTCAACTGAAAGCACAAAAGAGCCAAAGCCACCTCCTAGAGATGACTGAACGGAGGCATAGCAGAGTTTCCTTTCTCTGGTCAGAGTGGTGTTTCTAAGGACAAGATGGCAACAATTGTAACACCGTCATAAAGAAGGGGAACAGCGTCTTTGAAAAGAGGTTTGTTCACCTGGTGATACATTTTATGATAGAACTGATGACTAAATCCCACAAGCATGTACAAGTAATAGTACTGTGAATGAGGCCTACAGCTGTAGGTGACAATTATTTATAAAAGAATCCTTGGAGGGTAAAGGGGAGTCAGTGGGCCAATCTTCTAACATAGTAGCAGGCTATTTACTAAAAGTGGCAATATAAGGAATAAACAAGAGGCACTGATAGTCCTCACACACAATCAACATTAAAACTTCATTGATATAACAAATAAAGATTTGGTGAAATGAATCACATGACTGCAATGGTAATAAAGAGTATTGTTTGCTAAAAAAGAATATGCCAGATGAGAGAGAGAGTGGTGCCTTGTAAATAGAGGTTGTCTACACTTACTCTCAAATCTAGAAAGTAGGAAAAGGTTGAAAATCAGGATAAAAGACTACAATACTTGTGAGAGTCAGCAGCTACTAAGGATAACCAAGCCTGTTCACCAGAGAGATGAGACTTTTAAATAACAAGAGCAAAAAGCCTACAAGAATCATCCAAGGACCAGAACTGGGTGGTAACAGGGCTTTTAAGAATCCTGATATACGCTGGAAAAGCAATCTAGCTGGGCACAGGCTGTTCGGGAAGTTCTTGGAATGTACCAGTGAAAGGGTTGTTTTTTTTTTAGTTTGATTCATTTGTATTTTAAAGTAGGAGGTAGAAAAAGCAACTAGATGGGTAACTGGTTTGGATTGGACTGGATTCTAAGCCACAGGTAGAAATCAACTGAAAAAAGATGAAAAGCAGTTCAAATGAAAGTGATCTTAGTATGTTATGGTTCATGAATCTCAGGAAATGAAGGAGGGGAAAAACCATGATAATAAAAGCAACAAGATTTCAGCAGAGCAAACTTCAAAAAATTCCTAGAAATTTTACGTAAGAAATAAAAAATAAGGGAAAAAAGTAATTCAGGTACGCAGGCCAGTTCTTTAGGAAGGTATATTAACTGGCGGCTATTCCATCCAATGCAGAGAAAGGACAGAAAATGACATGCATTGAGGTAAATCACAAACTCTTTGGTGACCCAAAGTTTGAGGAGGAAGAACTCTGAAAGTGAAAACTAGGTCAAGTTACTCAGGTTGAGTAGATATGAGCACAAAGTTATAGGATAAAATCAGAAAGGCAAAGCACAATAAAATGCAATTAACAAGTAACATAAGGAACAAGAAGAGATTGTTTTTTATTCTTCATAAATATACACATAGGCACGCACTGGTAGGAAAAAGAAAATGATGAAAAGATTTGATCTGCTATTTAGAGGAGAGGGAGAGTTATCAAAGATGACAAGACAGCTGAAGTGTTTCCTTCTTTACTCTTCACTTAAGAGAATCATTTGCAAATCAGATGGGTAACATGTAGCCTCATCTAAACAATACTTGGGCTGGCTCAGAGAAAGAACAGATTACAGAGTTAGGTAAATAGGTTGTTTTCAAATCATCAGATAAAATTCAGTTCTGACTTCACTTTAGCTAGCCAAAATTGATATTGTTGTCAAAGCAGGCAGTTCCATCCTCCTCCTCCTAACAGATCACTCTTGCTCCTGTGCCACTTTCCCACTATTAGCATAAGCAGCTGCATTGAATCAGGTGAGGCAACTAATCCGGGTTGAAGCTTTCCTGCCAAAAGAGTCCACTTCAACCAAGAGCAATTACGGCACTTGGTCAGAATGTTAAGTTACAAAAACACAAGACCAGGAGCAATTGGTTAGGAAGCAGTTGTGATGGAAAGGATATGGGAAAGCAGGTCATAATTTGAAAGCGAGTCAACAATACCATATTACTTCAAAATAGGCAAAACACTTTGATAAAAATGAGTTGGAGCTTTATCTGCACATTTACATGAAGTAAATTTCCTCCCATCATCCCATGCTGGTAAGGCCTGAGCTGGAGTAGTGTATCCATCTTACCCATAGCACAGGCAGGAGGGTAACTAGCTGCTGCAGTCCAGAGTAGAGCATCAAGACTGATCAGTAGTCTAGAAAATATAACCTATGACAAAAGATTGAAACAACAGGAGTTTTTTGTTTTTTTTTTTTTTAACTTTAATGAAAGAAAGATTGGAGAGAAGGAGAGGAAAAATGCAATCAGATTTCAAATCCTTTCATCATTTAACTATGAAGCTACTCCCTTTTCTTACGGTAATTTAAAAGTGCTGAAAGCCCCTATTCATACTAAAATGATTCATACAAAATTAGAAACCCATTAAAAATGAAAGAAATTCAAAATTTGTTTTGTTTTAGAATATATTTTACCTACCTAGTTATAAAACAATTCAACAGAATTTAAATTAAACATCATCCTTCCAAAGATAGTTAAGAAATTAAAGTAGTTTACTACTGTTTATGGTATGGAAATGACTGCTTTTAAGTATTTAAGAGTTTTACTTTCAGGAACACACAGGCACCATGCTATGCTACACACTTTATGTTTTAGTAATACATGTGTAACTCAAAGGGCCAAAGAATGTCAGGACTGAAAGAAATCATTAAAACAGTGAACTGGAAAAAATGGCAGCTTAGCCTGCAGCCTTACCCAAAATGATAGTAACTAGCTTAGACACTAAAAGTGTATTCAATGAAGTAAGTTTCTAGGATATCACAGTTTTAAAGTAGTAAGCAATTAATCTAGGATTCAGCCTTTATTCTTTTCACTATTTTTAGAAACCAGTTTTCTACAGGGGTTGATGGAATTTTTATAGAAACACTCGCATGCTCATGCACGCACAGAAGCATTTACATCAAATATTTCTGTTCTAGTTTTCTGGACGCTAGATATGCAGATGCTAAAGCAGCATGGCCCCATGCTGAAGTACAAAGAAAGTTGGGGCAAGTTCCTTTTGCTAAGAAAAAGGGCACAATTTCACAGTCATTTTCAAAGCAGCAGAGAGAGCCAATGTTAGTATAATGTTTCTATGTAACGTAAAAAACATGCCCTGTGTTCACCCGTGTCAGCCAGTCTTTATGGCTGAACTCAAACGGGCACAGCTGCAGAGGAAAACCGGGTGGAAGAGGAAAGCATAGAGAAGGTGCTATTTGTAGTTCAGCTGTAACGCAATGAATGCGGATTGCTAAGCTTTCCAGTTATTTCTACTGTCAGAGGGAGTGGCGGCTTGAGTATATCTAAAAGCCACACTCAGAGGAAAAAAGCCAGGCCACCTCAGAGGGCTAGTCCCGGAGAAAACCGTACTGAGGCTTCCCATGACCGCTCTCTCCCCCACTCGCTGTCTCAAGACATACTCTGTACTAGGCACAGCACCAATGTCAGCCAGCGTATACTGCCTGCTTACTTTGCCTCTCTTCAGCCTCATCAGATCAGGAGCAAGAAAAGCAGGGTGCTCAGAAGCCACTCAAGGGGCTCAGCATTTTATAGAATGCTTGTTCATACCTAGGATGTACTGAATTTCAAACATCAACATCTAACTAAACTAAACTACGCTGTGCGAAGGAAACCCCTAAAACTGGGAAACACAAGGTACAACTGAAACTAGTATACTACAGTAGTTAACTGCAAGAAAACATTCTCTATCAAGATATCGCTATTGCTATGAGTAAAGTTTTACACTTAAAAAAATTTTTTAAGTATGAATGTACCACTGTATTAGACGCTACTAAAAGATGCCAAGGCAGGTTCTTCCTTCTGCAGAGGGAAAACTGTGCTGCTCCGCACATCCTGCTGCGCTCCTTTTGTTGCTTTGTTTCCAGGTTTCAAGAATGTTTCTTTTGTTTCAGGAACTATTACCATTAATTCCTGTCGAGGGCAGTAACATTACAAATGTGGAGAAAGTCACAGTGCAGTACCCTTCCTTCTTTAAAGATATGGTCTCCAAACACACTGTATCAGTTGCAACTTGTTTTCCTGTATCTCGCCACTCTCCTGTTTTCCATTCAAATTTTTGAGTAACTGGATGAAACGTTGAAACTGTCACGGGAACAAGGGGTCTGGCTGAAGTCTGCACAGACAGACATGCTAGGCAGGCAAGGCCACTGTAGCATCACGATTTCTATAATGCATTGTTATGTAGAGGCATTTATTCCCCCTAAAACATCGTTTGGGCAGTCCCTGTTTCCTGCCAGAGCATCTAACACACAGGCACAGAAGTCACCAGTACAAGCAACATGGTTCTTCAAACAGACGCTGGCAGAACCACCACAAAAAACAGTTGCAGCAATACAGGTCTTAAACAACTGAGAAAAACAGGACTTTGCAAGGTTAAGGAGAAATCTAAGTCTGGCTATAAAGAGAAACATTTAATGCTGCAAAACTTTAGAAAACTATCCTAAAATTTCCAATAACAATAAGAATCTATAAAATAAATTAATTCAGAAATAACAAAATAGCAGACACTGTTTAAAGGAGGAAGTATAAATATAAACTAGTTATTAGTCAAAAGGGCTTTTTAGCTTGGCAGTAAATTTGTCTTACCAGAAAGAGCTGTCACAAACAAATTCTATCCTCTTTACCAAATTCTATCCTCTTTACCTTGGGTTTACTTTGCTCTAGAACTGGGTTAGCATAAAGAAGCAGAAGCCTTATTTTGCATGATATTCTTAACCAATACAGAAGTAAGAGGGCAAGATCTGAGATGAGACCACAAGTAGTAGGGCTAGATTATTCGTTACCCTGAGAATTGTATATGCTCTTCTGCTCTGGGGATCTTAGCAGAACAACAGGCAGAATTCTCAAAAGCTTCTTGAGTTTTAATAGGCAATACAATAGATAGAGGGCTCCTAAATATGTTAGGCTTCTTTGAGAGCTCTAATTCACCAACCAGTATGACATGACTGAATCTCCCACTGTTGTCTGAATATTGAGTTATTTATACGTAACAAACAAAATGGAAGTGGGATTCCCACATAACAGCAAATGGATTTGAAGAAGTGTCCTGGAACAACAGCTGGCATTATACTTTACAGAAAGCTCGTAAACACCTTTGTGGCTAAGCTTTTAAGACAATTTTATTAAAAAAAAAAAAACAGACGTAAACAAGATATGGTTAGACACCTCCATGATTAATTTTTTCCTTTTCTTCTTTTTTTTTTTTTTTTTAGAAAGCCTTTGCAGACAGTTTTGTCATCTGTGTGTTATACTGACCAGTAAGATTTAAAAAAAATATTTAATGTACAAATCAGGACAGCACTATCCCTGATAATCCTTCTGGACAAAATAGTTTCACATACATCTCTTTCCACTCCAGACTCTACAAACTCATCATGGAAAAGCCTAGGAAAACTTTCTTTTTGCTATGCTGTTGCATTTCTGTCAACAGTGCAGACAGAGAAGTGATCTAACAGGGGCCAGGCTACAGACCACTTGGAGCATTAAGAAGAATGAAATCAGAATTTTGAACTGGGTCCAGAAGTAAATGGAAAAGATGCTCAAGCATATAGAATGTAGGTGTGATCTGCTCTCACTTGTCTTTTTTATGTAATAGTAAAAAAGAGTATCTCAGGGTGCCTAAAATTAGTAGTTACTTTTGAAAATTTGGTCTATCATGTATTATTTATCTTTCTTTTTCTCCTAAAGGGAAGACATAACATGGCAATAGCAGGTGTTCTTAGCTTCTTGATGGAAAAGGAGGGAAAAGCTGACCCAGGGGATTGATCTTCCTTCAAAGGAGAAGTGATAGAGAGAGATTCTCCCTAGCTGTCAAACTAGAGAGAACTACTCTCTGTCAACAAATACTGCAATCCCACCAGTTGCCAGGAAGGCTTGAAGCTTAGGGACTTCTCAGGCAGGCACCAGATCCTCGGCCTACTCCTCCAAACTGCTGTGCTTGGGAAGGTCTTGTTCTTAGCCGTGGAAGTGCTAGGGAACAACTTTTCTGTTTTAGCAGAGGAGGAGGAGGAATAGAGGGAGGAGATACTGGGCCTCCCTGTGTTACTCCTGCTCCACTGCCACGGGTACAGGTGGTTAGAAACTGGATATCACTTAGAGCACCACGCTTTCCTTACACTGGTAAGTAAGGTGCATACTAAAAATTGCACTATGAAGACTTAAGATTGGAGAAAAATACATGGTTAGTCTTTCTACAAGCTGAGTGTAACTAAATCAAAATAGGTAAATGTGTATTTTTCATATAACTATTTATTTCTGTTAATAATTAAATCAGTTCTTTCCATCCAAGCAACAATAACCAAGCCCTTTATAGAAAACATGGTAGAAATGCACAGTGATAGCATTCCGTTTTCTCTCTGCAAGCTACTCTCTATAACTAAATTAGAAATACACTAATAATTGTACCTCTAAACTATTTTTATGCCATGTTTACAAGCAAAGCACTGAACGCACCTACTATTCCCCAAAACGAGAACAGATAACTTAAACATTATTTGTCAGTTTTGGCTTAGAGATTTTGACAGTGTCTCCTGAGAAATGAGAGCCGAAACATAAAAGATAACTGACAAGAAATGATTTAAAAAGACAGAAAATCGCTCCTTCACTGTGCTTTCTTTCTCAAAGAACTCTACATGAGACTCCCCCATCCATTCATATAAGAAAATGTGCTATTTTTAACTTTTAAAAGATTTATTTCTAGAAAATGTTATCCTGTATATATACACAAAGTTAATCTGACAGAAAGACTGTTTCCTTGAGCCCTTTAAATTGAAGGCTGCCTCTGCATTTAGGGGAGCTCTTTGAGCACGGTCATCAGAAATGGCAAATGAAGAAGGGGGTCTCGCCTTCCAAGGGAACGCATAATGCTCGGCTTTTAAAAGGTGAGGTAGAAGACAAAAGAATATTTTACCAAAAACTATTTGCTTTCTTTTTCTCAAAGCCACTAGGAACGATCATGAGAGAAGTGCAAGAAAAGAACGGAGCTTTTGGGTTTGTCGACTTGCTTCCTTTATGATCCAGGTACCTGAATACCTCAGTTTAAGGATAAAGTAGTTTAGACTTTACCCATACCCTAATATCGAGCTAGTTAAACCTTTAAACCTATTTCCTACAAATGGCTATTTTCATGGTTATGAGATATGCTGTCAACACTC